CCCCACATTCCTTTGTCTCTAACTGTTTACTCATGTCAACTCTGTGCTGGATGGTCCTCTTGGGGGGAGATACATATGGCCTGTGTGAGATTATGTAAGTCAGAAGGAAAATACAAGCTCTAGGCTGCTATCATGGGCTACCAAGAGCACTGGGATTGAGGGTGGAGGGCTGAGGTATGTGGGTGTGAGAGGAGTGTCTACAATAAAAACAGCATATATAATGTGATCCCATTTATGTAAATGTGTGTGTGCATAAAGAGATAAATTAGAGGATGCTCACCAAAATGTTAATGATGGCTATAGCGAGGATATGGAGTTTTGAGTGACTTTTACTTGTTATTTGCATTTTTATATATTGTTTGAATTCTCTAGAAATATCATGTTATTGAGAGAGATCCAAGATGGCTGATCACTAGCAGCTCGGGATTGTAGCTCCTACTGAAAACGCAAAGAACGAGAGGACGCCACACCTTCACATGAATTCTGGTTGCTCACGCACCAGGAGATTCCCAGCGCAGGAGCCCCACGGGTCGCCAGCGCGACTCCTGTGACCGTCGAGGCGGTTTTGCCGGCGCCTCGGAGCGTCGGTTCTTGGTGCAGAGTCAGAAAGGCACCATCAATCTTAACGCCGCTGATTTGGTCGGTGCAGTGGGTTGCTCAGATTTCGGCGCTGAGAATCAATAAGTTGGACGTCCACTCAGAAACCCAATTACAAAGACGGTGATTATAAAGACCACAGATGGATAAATCTACAACGAAGGGAAGGAAACAGCCAAAAAAGGCTGAGAATACCCAAGATCAGAACGCCTCTCCCTCAGCGGGGGATCCCAGTTCCTCATCAGCAACGAAACAAGGCCTGATGGAGAACGAGTGTGTTCCAATTACAGAAGCAGGCTTCAAAACGTGGATAATAAGAAACTTCTGTGAATTAAAAGAACTTGTGCTAACACAATCTAAAGAAACTAAGAACTTTGAAAAAAGGTTTGACGAAATGTCAACAAGAATACAAAATTTAGAGAGGAAAATAAGTGAATTGATGGAACTGAAAAACACAATACGAGAACTACGTGAAGTATGCACAAGTTTTAACAGCCGAATTGATCAAGCAGAAGAAAGGATATCAGAGGTCGAAGACCAACTCAATGAAATAAAACAAGAAGACAAGATTAGAGAAAAGAGGATACAAAGGAACGAGCAAAGTCTCCAAGAAATATGGGACTATGTGAAAAGACTTAATCTACGCTTGATAGGTGTACCCAAATGTGACGAAGAGAATGAATCCAAGCTGGAAAATATGCTTCAGGATGTTATTCAGGAAAATTTTCCCAACTTAGTAAGGCAGGATAATATTCAGCTCCAGGTAATACAGAGAACACCACAAAGATATTCCTCAAGAAGAGCAACTCCAAGGCACATAATCGTTAGATTCACCAGGGTTGAAATGAAGGAGAAAATACTAAGGGCAGCCAGAGAGAAAGGTCAGGTTACCCACAAAGGGAAGCCTATCAGACTCACAGCAGATCTCTCAGCAGAAACCCTACAAGCCAGAAGAGAGTGGGGACCAATATTCAACATCCTTAAAGAAAAGAACTTTCAACCCAGAATTTCACATCCAGCCAAACTAAGCTTCATAAGTGAAGGAAAAATAAAGTTTTTTGTGAACAAGCAAGCACTCAGAGAATTCATCACCACCAGGCCTGCTTTACAAGAGCTTCTGAAAGAACCACTACACATAGAAAGGAACAAACAGTATCAGCCTTTCTAAAAAATACCAAAAAGTAAAAAACGTCAATATAATGAAGAATTTACATCAACTAATGGGCAAAATAGCCAGCTAACATTAAATGACAGTATTAAACTCACACATATCATTATTAATTCTAAATTTAAATTGACTGAATTCCTCAATTCAAAGACAGGCAATTTGGACAAAAAACTAAAACTGTATGCTGCATCCAGCCCCATCTCACATTCAAGGATACACAAAGACTCAAAACAAAGGATGGAGAGAGACTTACCAACCAACTAGAGAGCAAAAATAAATAAATAAAAAGCAGAAGTTACAATTTTTGCCTCTGATAAAATAGTATTTAAAGCAACAAAGATCAAAAGAAGCAAAGAAGGACATTATATAATGATAAAAGAATCAATGCAACAACAAGAAGAGTTAAAGGTCCTAAATATACACGCACCCAATACAGAAATACCCAGACATACAAGACTTATAAAGAGACTTAGACTCCCACACAATAATAGTGGGAGACTTCAACATTAATATTAGACAGATCAATGAGACAGAAAATTAATAACGATATCCAGGACTTGAACTCAGATCTGGAACAAGTAAACGTAATTAATATTTATAGAACTCTCCACTTTACACAGAATATACACTCTTATCAGTACCACATCATATCAACTTGGAAGTTTAAACGAAATGTTGGTTGGCTCCTTGTTTGTTGCTCTCTTCCCTCATTTTCCTTCATGTCTCCATTATTGGGGACAATTGTAGGCATACCCATATTTGGACTGCATTCTAGCCCGGGCAGCAAAGCAATACCCCCATTCTCTCTCCCTCTTCCTTTTTCTCTTTCTTCCTCTTCTTTGTTCTTTTTCTTATTATTCTTTTTCTCAAAAAAAAAAAAAAAAAAAAAAAAAAAAAAAAAAAAAAAAGTGGGCCTTTAAGATGGGGCCTTTATAAAAAATAAAAATTAAAAAATTAAAAAAAAAGAATCCCTGGCCTCTACCAACTATATGCCAGTAGCCTCTCATTCCCTCTAGCTGTGATAACCAAAAAAAAAAAAAAAGAAGAAGAATAGCTATTAAAAAAAAAAATGATACAATGGACTTTGGAGACTCTGGAGACTCTGGGCAAAGAGTGTGAGGGGGTGAGGGATAAAAAACTGCATACTGGGACAGTATGCTTGAGGGATGGGTGCACCAAAATCTCAGAAATCACTGCTAAATAACTAATTCATGTAACCAAACACCACCTGTTCCCCCAAAACCTATTGAAATAAAACACAAATTTAAAAGTAAAAAAAAAAAGGGAAGTTTCTACTAAAAAAAAAAAGAAATATCATGTTATTTGTATAATTTTAAAAAGCCATTTTAAGTATGGCAAACCAGAATATAGATCTTAAAAAGTAAAAGGCAAAAGAAAACTGGAGAAAAATAATTCAACATTTTATAAAGAGTTAATCTTTATTATATAAAGAGTTTTTCCATATCAATAGGAAAAAAACGTCCTCCAGAGAAATGGGCAAATGACAGGAACTGGCAATTCAAAGAAGAGTAATTGCTTTATGTAGTCAACCTCACCAAATATTTAAAGAAATGGAAATTGAAAAAACTGAGTCAGGAAAGTAACCAAAGCAAAAACTCCTTGTGTTGGAAAGGATTAGGAGACCAAGCAGTTCACACACTATGTGGTGGGAATGTTATTTTTGGTGAGGAGGCTAATTTGGCAATGTAAAGCCTTAAAAATACATATAAGCTGTGACTTAGAAATTCTATCTCTAGGAATTATGCTACAGAAATCAACAGAAAAAAAGTACCAAAAATGTTTATGGTATTGGTTATGGTATTGGTATTGCTATTAAAGTTGGTATGGTATTGCTAAGGTAAAGGACAAGTGTGTTTATGGTATCTCTACAAAGTAATTAAAACTGCAAACAATCTAAATGACCATCAATAGGGGTAGCCATTAAATGGAATACAATGCAGCTGTTAAAATGATGACAGAGACTTCCAAGTCATGGCTGAATGCACATGTTTTGTTTATATCCCATCTTTCCAAACATTCAACTGAAATAACAGAAAAATAAACAGGTAAAATTAGAGCATCAGTGAGAACCTGGGAGGAGTGCTACTCGCAAACCAGACTTTTAGAAACCTCTGGAAGAGAATAAAAGACAGCAAGAGATTAACTGAAGATGTAATGGAAAAAGAAACTTATAACTCCGTAAAAGCAAAAGCAAGGACTTCTACAAAAAGTTTATCAGCAGAATTCCTAAATTACTCCTAGATAAGAAGTATCAACTAAGAGAAAACTCCAGCAGTTGTGGTTGGTTGAGAAATCAGCCCAAGGGCAGGGTGGCAGCAGTGCCTGCATTCAGAGGAGATGGTAACATTTGCTTATTCTGTAAACCTACACATACTTGTATTTATTTACCATGAATATATATTTATATTTATATATGTTAGTGTGTACTTAAATCATTCATGTATTTAATTCATATATTTAAATCTAAATACGGATTCAAATCAATATTTATTAATGTATGATATCGAGAGATGTTAAAATAAAAAAGCATGATATAAAATAGCATGGCTTTATTTTTGTAGAAAAAATTGTATTTTATAAATATATGTGCTTAGCAAAAAACGTGGAAAGGTAGACACCAGAATTCTGCATGGTGGATAACAAGGGACTTTTTATTAGTTTTTATTTCCTTTCTGTATTTAAGAAACTTTTCTGTAATGAGAAAATGAGTCTTTTTTAGTTCAAAATATAGACTCATTTAAAAAGTTAATTGCTTTAAGTGTTATTAAAGCTGCATCATAAGTTCAAGGGCATTTAAGGCTTTTTTTTTTTTTTTTTTCATCAGAGATATAGCTTCAACAAACACCAAAAACTGGAGCTGGTCATCATAGCATCAGATACTTTAACACATTTCTGGAAATCAGAGAAAACCTGCCTGGCACAAATTTGAAAAGGAAGATAGGGGAGGGGTGCCCTTTGTGCCCTCACACTGGAGTGCATGGGTTTCTGGGTGTGAAGCCCCCACCCCTTGCTAACTCAGCGCTTCATGAGAAGAGCACCCCACTATCTTGTTCTCCCACTGTGTTCTCAGAATAAACAGAATAAAACACAACATATCAGTATGAAGTCCCCTCTTGGAAACAGAAAGTGCACAGGAAACACATATGGAGGCAAAACCTCAAAAGCAAGGTATGGAAAATGGCGTTTAACAAAGACAGTTGTTTAAACAACTTACAGGATGCTTGGCTGAAAGTCTTCCAGTCACAGTTCCAGTCTGATTCCATGTAGAGGAAATGGAGCCCTGTATTAGTTAAGAAAAATCAGTGTAAACTCTGGCAATGCTATATGAGGTCAAGAACGAGGCAGAGCCTCCACCCACAACACACAACACTCGCTGCTCCTCCAGAGGCCGACAAGCTGCTGGCCCTAAACTTCCAACCCCAAAATGTCCTTGGGGTTACGACGCTCCTGACGTGTGATCAGGGAAGGGTGAAGAAGGAAGCTTCCCTGCCCCATGTAGGAACTGCAGCAGGACTTGACATCACTTACAATCCTGTGCATGGGGAGAGGAAGGGCTGTTGGGCTGTGGGGAGTGTGGTGTGGGCAAGAGGTGGGACTGTGCATCACATGTTCTGTCACTGGCTGTGTGAACTTGAATAAGTCAGAGAACATCCCTGGACTGCAGTCTCCTCAAGTCTGAACTAAAACAGTATCATCTTCCTCACACAAGTCCAGAACAGAGATGCAATAGTGGATGTGAAAGCAGGGCAGCTAGAGCTTCCACATGAACAGAGTGTTCAAGGCATAATGTCGACCTATGCTGCAAGGAGACCTAAATAATATCAACAACATGGTTCACAGTTTCAAGAGTATTAGATTATTTCATAATTTACTAAAATTACAAAGCTTCTGGCAGGGAGCGGTGGCTCACGCCTATAATCCCAGCACTTTGGGAAGCTGAGGTGGGCGGATCATGAGGTCAAGAGATCGAGACCATCTGGCCAACATGCTGAAACCCCATCTCTCCTAAATACAAAAATTAGCAGGGCACGTTGGCACGTGCCTGTAATCCCAGCTACTCAGGAGGCTGAGGCAGGAGAATTGCTTGAACCTGGGAGGCAGAGGTTGCAATGAGCCGAGATCAAGCCGCTGCACTCCAGTCTGCATGACAGTGAGACTCCGTCTCAAAAAATAAAAAAAAGAAAAAGATTACAAACCTTCTGTATGTATCTGAGCTCATACATAAACCACAGTCCTAATCATATTATCTTTCTATAAAGCTTGTTACCTTTTTCATGCAAGCTAGTAATCCGTCTACAAAGGTTGACTTGATCTTGTGAACCTAAGGTACAAAGACAAGAATAATCATTTTCTTTAAGTCTTTTTTTTTTTTTTTTTTTTTTTCTGATAAGGAGCCTCACTCTGTCACTCAGGCTGGAGTGCAGTGGTGCAATCTCAGTTCACTGCAACCTCCACCTCCTGGGTTCAAGTGATTCTCCTGCCTCAGCCTCCCAAGTAGCTGGGATTACAGGCGTGCGCCACCACACCCGGCTAATTTTTATATTTTTAGTAGAGATGGGGTTTCGTCATGTTGGCCAGGCTAGTCTCAAACCCGTGACTTCAGGCCATCTGCCCACCTCAGCCTCGCAAAGTGCTGGGATTACAGGCATGAGCCACTGCACCTGGCCTGTTTCAGTCTTTAAACACGAATGGTGTGAATGGTGTTTCACAGAGTGCCAGTCATGTGCTACTACTATCACCTTAGATGACTCTGAGAGGACCTGGAATGACCTTAGGATTAAACAACACTGACCCACAGAGAAAGATATCATTCCACTCTAAAAATACGTCTAATTTGGGTATATCTTTACCAGAAAAAAAAAATCTATTAATTCTAGAGTCATTCTAGATTTACAGGAAATTTGCAAAAATAAACAGATAAATACCCTGAAGCAGTGTCTCCTGTGGTGGCCCCTTTACATCACTGCAGGGAGAAAGGGCCAGGCTGGGGCCAACATGCTCCCTCATAGCTGCCAGGCCCTCAGGATACAGTAGGCCATAGGCTCAGTGAATACTAGGACCTATGCTGTGGGCAGTGGCAAAAGCTAAAAACATGGTTCACAACCAACAGAGAACTTCTGAAGAAAATGGCAGGTGTATGAACAGAGAAATAGGAAATAGCCAGGGGAGGGAAGGGGGCCGCTCATGAAATGCCCAGTAAATGTAAATGCAAGACAGCAAAACACTGCTATGGTATAGCCTTGCCAGACCTAGAAGCCAGGAAGGGGGTTGTGGGAGAATTCTGGACTAGGTGCTGCTGGGCGTCTCATGCACACTGCTGTCACACAGCTGTGGCGTGCACCTGCTTCCTTCTGATTCTTCATTGTCTTCTTCCATTTATGACTCCTGAGGTTCACAAGTGGGGCTGATTGCAGACTTGGGTAAAATCACATTGGGGCACAAGTAGACGGTGCCAGTACAAGGTTAACCTGACAAAACTCTTCCCCTGAGAACACTGGGAGGGCTGCGCCTGCCATTATGGATTTCCGTTGAAAGACACAGGGCCATATGGCTCCCCTTCACCACCCTTTACTTACAAAAAGTTAACTTACCTGCCTGTATTCCAAAATTATCTTGGGTAATGGATGAAGGTCTCGCAGAGCATTTAACTAAAAACGAAGATAAATACCACCAATGTAATTCTTTCATTTTAACATCTTAAACACTTATTTTAATCTGAAGAAAGTCCTTGTAATAAATGGTCTAATTGAGCATATTTTTCAAAATAAAGATGCATAATAAAGTTTATCAAGTGTCTTAATCCTAACCCCTTACAAAACCATTCTGTTGTCTACATGGGCACTAAAAGCACCTCAGACAAGCTTGGAAATAAGACTCCTCTTGAGATTTAAATGATGAAATCTAAATCTAGAGTAGGTAAAATCCTGCGTCAGTGCCTACAAATGTGTAACTCGGTAACTGCCTAATTTCAGGAAGGAGTAATGGATTATGAGTTTAAAAATTAACTTTAAAAATCAAAATATAGCATACTACAAGAAAGTACAAGATAAAAAAAAGTACAAGACACTAAGAAAAGTCTGTTAATTCTCACAAAGTGAGCATACTTGTTAAGCACCAGGCACAGCAAGCAGTGAAACATTCCAATTTCCCCAGCAGGTACTGGCTCCTTCCCCAGAGCTAACCACTACCTTGACTTCTACTACCACAGGCTACCTGTTTCCTGTCCTTTGTCCAGTATTATTTTTTTAGGGCTCATCAATATATGAAGCAGTATTTCATTTATCTGCACTCCTGTGTAGTATTCAAGTGTATGAATGGAGAACATTATCCATTCCACCTTTGATGAATATGTGTTTTTTTTTCCACCTTAGGGCTATTATAAATAATGCTGGTACAGAGATTTTAGTTAATATATGTGCACAGTTCTGTGGAATACATACATTAAAAAGTGTGAAATTACTGCATCAACTTTAGCAGAGATACTGCTAGTTCTCCAAAGTAAACATACCTGTTTATACGCACCTCAGCAAAGCATGAAGGTTCAAGCTGATCCACATTTTTGCCAATGCATGTCATCACTTGTGCTAATTTTACGTGTTTTGGTAAATGAGACATGATCTCTCACTGCAGTTTTAGTTTGTATTTCCCCAGTGACTAACACTGTTGGACACTATTCATATATTTATCGACTAATTGTGTATCTTCTTTCATTAAGTCCCTGTTTGTGTCTTTTGCTCATTAAAAAAATTGGTTTGTATAATTTGTTATTCTAGACAGTTTTTTGATCAGTTACATTTATTGGAAATATCTTCTCTTCTTCTATGGTTAGTTTTTTTACTAATTTGTTTTTTTTTTGTTTTTTTTTTTTTTTTTTTACAGAAGGTCTTGCTCCATTGCCCAGGCTGCAGTGTAGTGCTGCAATCATAACTCACTACAACCTCAAACTCCTGGGTTCAAGTGATCTTCCTACCTCAGCCTCCTGAGTAGCTGGACTACAGGTGCACACAACCATGCCTGGCTAAGTTTTTAAAATTTTGGCAGAGATGAGGTCTCACCATGTTGCCTAGGCTGGTAGCTGGACTACAGGTGCACACAACCATGCCTGGCTAAGTTTTTAAAATTTTGGCAGAGATGAGGTCTCACCATGTTGCCTAGGCTGGTCTTAAACTCCTGGCCTCAAGTGATCCTCCTGCCTCGGCCTCCCAAAGTGCTGGTATTACAAGCGTGAGCCACGGCATCTGGCCTTTTCACTTATTTAATGGTGTCTTTTCATAATTAGAGATTTTTAAATTTTATTGTTGCCCAGTGTATCAAGCTTTCCCTTTATGGTTGATGTATTTGCTGTTTACCTATCTCAAGGCCTTAAATATATCCTTTTATTATATCTTCTCCAATCTTTACTATTTTGCTTTTTATATTGAGATACACAATTCACTTGGAATTTGTGTTTGTATGTTGCATGAAACAGGTCAAGACACACTGGCCGCATATCATTTATGAAACAAGCCCTCCTTACTCAATGCTTTGCAGTGACACCCCATCAGACACACACTCTCACTATCTCTCTCTCTCTTTTTGAGGCAGGGTCTCACTGTGTCATCCCATGCTGGAGTGCAGTGGTGCCATTTTGGCTCACTGCAACCTCCACGTCTGGTTCTCAAGCTATCCTCTTGCCTCAGCCTCCTGAGTAGCTGGGAAAACAGGTATGTGCCACCATGCCCAGCTAATTTTTGTGGTTTTTGTAGAAATGAGGTTTTGCCATGTTGCCCAGGCTAGTCTTGAACTCCTGGACTCAAGCAATCCTCCCGCCTTGGCCTCCCAAAGTGCTGGAATTACAGGTGTGAGCTACCATGCCCGGCCCGATTTTCTTTATTATTATTATTATTTTTTTACCTTTAAGCTCTGTTGGACTTGATGTTTGTGGATTTTCTATGTTGGTCCATTGGCCTATTTACTGAACCTTGAGTCAAAATCAAATGGTATTGCTTAATTAATTCCTAGTAATTCCTATTGCTTTCTAATTAGTCTTGATATCCAACAGACTATGTTCTTAAATAGTGCTTTTTCCCTCCAAGATTATTTTGGCTCTTCTTAATTTTTAGCATTTCCATATAATTCTGAGAATCAACTTTTCAATTCCTACCAAAAAAACTCCTGCCAGGGTTTTAATTAAAATTGTTTAGAATCTATAAATCAACTTGGGGGAGAAATGATTATATGATTTTAATGTAATCGCGTAAACCACTAAAGCATAGCACTCTCTGAATAAAGACTGAGAACATGAGTTATGGCCATAGAACATTAACAGTGGGCGGTATCTTGCCTCAGTATAATCCAGAATTGAGGTTTTCATAGAAAAGCTATCCCTAGGGGGATGAAATGCATGAAAATACTTAGCCAAGAAAACAGCTGAAGATCATCCAGCTCCCCTTATCTTGATACCTTACTCACAAAATAACTTTCTAACCAATAGTCTCCCAGTACGTCTTGACTTGAGCAGCCTGAGAACACTGAAAAGAAGTAGGTGTTTGATTGCACAAACCGTGTAGGCGCACTGAGTGCTGGCTGAGGGCCAGAGGCGGAGTGCCGTCAGCTGCCATGGCTCTGCAGGCTCACCTACGCTCTGCGCTGGCTGCAGACACCACATCCTTCTGACCTCCCTTCTCACTCTAGTATCCCGCTGGAGCCTCTTCTCTCTCTGACCTTTAAGTATCAGTTTCTCAGAGTTTAACTCTGTGGTTATCTATGCTGGCTGCGTATCGCCATCAACAGGGAGCTTCAAAAACAGGCCCGTGACGAGGCTCCCCCACTCAATTCTGACTTTCGGGGTCAGTTGTGGGCCTGGGCATCGATGCTTTCAAAACCTCCAGGCAGGGCAGAGGACCACTGTCCCAGGGCAACTTTAGTAAAAACCAGCTGGCAGCTTCCAAGTGTGTATTCCCAGCATGGGACTTGCCTTGAGCCCCGTCCCACAGGCCCAACTGCTGTTTTGTGACATGGCACATTGATGTCTCACATGCATTCTGTCCTAACATATCCACAACTGAACACTTGACCTCCCCCTCCATAAACAGTTCCTGTTCCAGTTTTCCCTGAGTAGTGGCTGTATCTATTTGCCCAAGTGCACAATTTAGAACTCAGAACTACTCCACATGCTGACTTTAGTTCCCACTCACATGAACTTATCAGAAGGTCCTTTCTGCTCTAAAAATCCATCTGCTTTGCTCCATTTCACTGCCATGACTTGGACTACAGTGACAGCCTACTAATGAGTATCCTCTATTCTCCAACCAGCTAAAAGAGTGATCTTGGCTGAGCACAGTGGCTCACACCTGTAATCCCAGCACTTTGGGAGGGAAAGGCAGGTGGATCACCTGAGGTAAGGAGTTTGAGACCAGCCTGATCAATATGGAGAAACTCTGTCTCTACTAAAAATACAAAATTAGGCAGGCATGGTGACGCATGCCTATAATCCCAGCTACCGGGTGGGGGCTGAGATAGGAGAATTACTTGAACCCGGGAGGCGGGAGGCTGTGGTGAGCCAAGATCATGTCAGTGCACTCCAGCCTTTTGCAACAAGAGCAAAACTCTGTCTCCAAAAAAAAAAAAAAAAAAAAAAAAGTATCTTATAAAAACATATCCAACACCTATTAAGATGGTGAAAATCCAGAACACCGACACTGCCAAGTGTTAGCAAAGTATGTGGAGCAGCAGGAACTCTCATTCATTGTTAGTGAGAATGCAAAATGGTGCAGCCACTCTGGAAGACAGTTTGGTGGTTTTTTTTACAAAACTAAATGCATGCTTATCATTTCATCCAGCAATCATACTCTTTGGTATTTGCCCAGATAAGCTGAAAATTTATGTCCACATAAAAACCTACACACAGATGTTTATCACGGCTTTATCAGTAATTGACAAAACTTGGAAACCAAGATGTTCTTCATAGGTAGATGGATAAACTGTGCTGCATCCATACAATGGAATAGTATTCAGTGCTCAAAAGAAATGAGCTAGCAGGTCATGAAAAGACATGGAAGAAACTTAAGTGCCTACCACTAAGTGAAAAAAGTCAATCCAAAGAGGCTACACACTGATTCCAATTGCATAACATTCTGGGAAAGGCAAAACCGTGGAAACAGTAAAAAGCACAGTGGCTGCCAGGGGCTGGAGGGAGGGAGGAAGAGGCAGAGCACAGGGTTTTTAGGGCAGTGGCCCTGCTCTGTATGATGCTGTAATGGTGGATGTATGTCATCATACATTTGTCCAAACCCATAGCATGTCTAACACCAAGAGTGAACCCTATACACAAGAACAGTCCAAGACTATATTGTGTAACTGCAGACTCCGGGAGATAAGGAAGTGCCAGCGTAGGTTCCCTGATTGTAACAATGGTAGCATTCTGTCGAGGATGTTGATAGAGGGGAGCTTGTGCATGTGTGAGGACAGGGAGTATGGAACAGGGAGTATGGGAACTCTTTGTACTTTTTGCGTAATTTTATTGTGAACCTAAAACTAAAAAATAAAGTTGTTTTTTTTTTTTTTTGAGACAGTGTCTCACTCTGTTGCACAGACCGGAAGGCAATGACATAGTCACTCCTCAGTGCAGCCTTGAACTACTGGGCTCCAGTGATCCTGCCACCTCAGC